GTCGGTCGAGCTCTAGAAGATTAGCCCTGAAGGAAAAAGGTCACTGTTTTATCTAACATCTATCTATCTTTGGGATACGCTGTTTTGATCCAACGGAGTAGAAATCTTCGTATGTTGCAGAAATCCCAAAGAAAATTCAGATACAAGTCCATGCCATGCTATTTCTACCTCAATTGGAACCAGTTGTTCTCACCTTCATGCCGAGCAAAGTGCTTTCGAGGAGGAATGCGTTTAAGGGGGACAGTCTAGTGATATTCCCTTCAGAGGGGCTGGAACATCATCAAGTAGACAAAACTAGAACAATCCCCCTGTACCACGCGTTCTCGATTATTCTGGAACATCTCAAGAAATCCATCATGTTTCAGCGTATTCACGAACACTCAATATGAATCGAGGCGACGGACGTTTCTCGAAACAATCGATGGAACCATCAGAAAAAATGGTTATGTTCTAAGAACAATAGGAGGGAACGGAAAATTATCGAGAAGACAAGACAACTAGTATACAGATTGGGCCAACGAGAACGAAACAGAATTAATAACCTCCAAGAGAATGTTTATCAAAAGAACGCTGGTCGATTCTCAATGTATGGGTGACATCTTTTATATGACCCTCAACTGTTCAATTTCATTCCCCTTTCTTTCAATTGACTCATCAATAAAATTTGAATTGGGCACATTATCGAAAAGGTAATTTGAAGAAGACATCGGTAATAATAAGTGAAGTTCCTCTCAATTTTTGTGCCCTCTTGCAAGATGAAAGAAATGTATGTAGTGTACTGTTTCTTCTTTTGAAAGTTCATATCACCATCAATCCAATGCATCAATAACATTGAATTACAATATCAAGAATGACCTTGAATGATTTCTGAATATTGCAGGACTAAAGCGTTCACAATCTCAACCCATAATTTATTTATTGTTGATTCTTAAGGTGTTATGTAATTATACAGGGTTGGCTTTATGTATGGAACAATGTCGCTAGAAGGAAAACGGCTTGAGATATTATTTTGAAAATTTGTAGGGATGAATTGGGCAAACTTTCGCAGATTTAGACAAAAAAAAATTATTTTTCTGTTATAGTTTCTTGACACGTCCGCCATCTTGATTTTTTTTAATGGCAACTTGGGTCGTGTGACACATCGTTAGAAAGCTTATTTTTTTCTCTTTTCAATTGTCATAATATTTATCGAATTTGATCATCGAATACTTGGAAAATATCAAGAAAAATAAATGCATAAGTGAATATTATCTCTGTTGTGATTTCAAAATCTAGAGGTCTATGCGCTTTGACAGGTGTGAAAATAATAAAAAACTTCTCAGAATTAGATGTCAGTGCAAGTGTCAGTGTGTTATTCACTCAAGAACATTATTATTGTAACAATGAATCGTCTTGCAGAAACCGAAAGAATAGAAATTTTAATGATGATTGGTTACGGCGATCGAAGACGCACACGGGAAGAGGTATGCCATTTATTTAATGATACACACCCCGACCGGCCGCCGATTAGTGTATCAACAGTGACAAAAACTTTAGGGAGATTTTCACAAATTGGAAACGTTAATGACCGTCGTAAAACAGGTCGAAGAAGAAACGTAACAAATGACGAAAATTCTCTGTCAATAGTGCTTGATGTAGTGGATCAACCAAGAACATCTACTTCACAGCTTGCCCTTAATCATAACATGTCTCGATATTCTGTTAGAAAAATACTCAAGAAACATGAATATCATCCATACAAAGTACATTTAGTGCAAGAGTTAACTGAAGATGACTTTGATAGGCGCACCGAATTTTGCGAGCGAATGCTGGAAGCCGTAACTTATGAACATTTTGTGAATAACGTTGTTTTTTCCGATGAAGCTACATTTATGTTAAATGGACAAGTTAATCAACATAATTCTCGCTATTATTCAGATACCAATCCAAATTGGATAGAAGAGGTACACACACAGTATCCACAAAAAGTTATGGTCTGGTGTGGCATGATAGGTCACCAAATTATTGGTCCATTTTTTATCGAGGGAAATCTTACTGGTAAACGATACCTAGAACTGTTAAGGCAAAGAATTGTTCCAAGACTGCTGGAGCTTTTTCCTAATGCCAATCACCCTGGTACAATAAATGAGCATATCTGGTTCCAGCAGGATGGTGCAAGTCCGTACTACGCAATTGCAGTTCGGAATTACCTGAATCAGATTTTTCCTGGGCGTTGGATTGGTAGACGAGGAAATATCGAATGGCCAGCACGATCACCTGACTTATCCCCCCTGGACTTTTTCTTATGGGGGCATTGCAAAAGTCGTATATACGAAAATAGACCTGAAAATGTTGACGATCTGAAAGTTCGAATCAGTGATGAGATTGCTTCCATTCCGGCTCACTGGTTACAAAACGCCGTACAAAGTTTTGAAAATCGTATACGTTATTGCCTAGAAGTTAACGGGCAACATTTTGAACAATTCATCAGATAATTTGACTTTTTGTTAATTTCGACTTGTAAGTAACTACTTAACATTATTTTCATTAAAATCACAACAGAGATAATATTCACTTATGCATTTATTTTCTTGATATTTTTCAAGTATTCGATGATCAAAACCAATGAATATGATGACAATTGAAAAGAGAAAAAAATAAGCTTTCTAACGATGTGTCACACGACCCATGTTGCGATTTGAAAAAAATCAAGATGGCGGACGTGTCAAGAAACTACAGAAAAAAAATTTTTTTTCTGTCTAAATCTGCGAAAGTTTGCCCAATTCATCCCTACAAATTTTCAAAATAATATCTCAAGCCGTTTTCCTTCTAGAGACATTGTTCCATACATAAAGCCAACCCTGTATGTAGTGCATTGAAATACACAACATTCTTTCTTCCCACAAGAGGGTGCTGAAATTGAGAAAAATCTTTTCGATAATGTGATATACTTATATGGTTTCCCTCCATATTCAAATTCTTCTGGTCAGCAAAGTGGAGCAGCGACTCCTACCAGCGTATTATCAAATTAACATTTGGCTCACTATGTATAAGAATGAGCCGCACAGCATAATGGCAGTCAGTCAATCGATGAGTGTCAGTTCTATACCGTGTGTCTCAAACCGCTCGAAATAAATAGTAGTGATGATTTCTCAATAGATAAGTGTTTCTTCAATTTGAAGGAAACCGTTCATAAATAAATAAATTGTATTAGTGTTCACTTCTGCTCGCGAATAACGTAACAGTATAATATCGGTGTGATAGATGGATTGTTGAGTTATCCTAGATAGAAATCTGCATGCTCTCAAACAATGTAAATGCATTGTCTTCTGTTCAGTTAGTTTCTCGTAAGTCTATATAAGATATTTTCAGTTTAACCCTGACAAACTATATGAAGCAACAAATTAGGTCCATAATGTTTATCATCCTGCCATCCATAGCTCATATGACAAAGAATGAGTTTTTTGGATCAGATGTATTCGGGATCTATTCAAGATTACGAGAACAACATTTTTGATATATGTCGACATGCCAATTTTTTTAATGAAATATTATTCCAATTGTCCATTATGAAAACGCCTTGTAGCGACAGAAGATTATTTCCAGTAATTTTTCTTAGCCACTCTCATTTTCAATTTCTTAATCGGGAATCTATATGATGAAAGGTTCTCGAGATAAGATTTTCATTCTAAGTCGTACACCAGGCACATATATGAGACATTTTCTTTAAATCACTGGTATTTTATAAGTCAGTATCTGAGATGGCAATATTTTTAGATCTGATTTTATGTGACTGTTGAGATCATCAAAATTATTAGCCCAAGTAAATAAGAGTAGTGCCATCTGCAAACAATTTCAGTTTTCCATTCAGTTACAAATTTCAAATTTGATTTATGTAAATTGAAATCAATATTGGGGTCTGGCGTGATCAAAGAAGAATATTTGAAATCCATATAGATATTCTCAACCATTTTTGAATTATTGAACTTCGAGAATTATAGGTAGGCCATTTTCATCGATACACATTCTCATCTGTTACTAAAACATCAGAAGTCCAATTATTGATTTAGTAGACTTGTTTTTTTCATTGAAAGAATTGATACCACAATCAAAGCAAATAGAAATAGTTCATATGCTAGTTAATCACAAAGTGAAAAAGAACAAAATTTCCATTTTGCATAATTGTAAATTACTATCATGGTTTTGTTTTTGATGTTCTCTAAATACATGGGATATTTTGGAAATTGAATTTTTTTCTTTTCTAACTTTGTAAATTACTAGCACGTGAACTATTTCTGATGTTTGCTTCAATTCTGGTTTGAATCCTCCCAATGAAAAAACTGGTTTACTGATTTATTGATTGGACTTTTGATGTTTTAATAACAGATAAGAATATGTTTGATGAAAATGACCTACCTGGAATATTCAAAGTTCAATAATTCAAAAATGTTTACGAATATCAATAATGGATGTTGAAATGAACGATGTTCGTGTTTCGATTCCACACCAAATGGCCTGAAATATATGGGGTGTTCCATTAGAAAAAGTCGAGAAAAAATCACTTCCAAAAGTTCCGAATTGAAAAATCATTTTTAGCCACCTTGTATAATTTGAGGGCATGAAAATTCTACAGAAATATCACGCATCTTTCCATCAAATGATATTATGATCATTTTTTTTCAACTTCATAATTGTGATTAGAGTGATTTTTTCGGGATGGGAAATGATAACTTTGAAATGATCGAGAAATAGTCGACAATATTATAAGAGTGGATAAGGGTTACAAAAATGCTTCAAAAAATGTGCTAATATATAGGGCATTCCATTTAAAAAAAGTGATCCTGACCCTCAAGATTTTTTCCGATGCCCCCTGTGTATGCGGCAACAATTTCTAGTTACGGACCTTGTTCTCTAATCGAAATTCGTTTTTGAATCAAGTTTCTAGCTATTATAGAGCTCGAGTAATTGAGCTCCGACGCCCTAATGCGCTACCCTGTATAATATATACTTGTATGACATACCTCCAATATTTCAAAGCATCGACCAGATCGAACTCAGTTGTTCCTCCTGTACAAACATAATGATCCAGATAATTCCAATTGTAGTGTTCCAATTTTTCAGTAGTGAAAGTGGCATATGATTCTTCGTAGGTGTCATGCCAAGGAGCATGGAATCTATAGCGATATTGATAGTTGAATCCAGGATAGGGATGTCTGAAAATATGAATATATAGTAGTTTCACAATATGCCATTTGAATTGAATAATGGTGTTAAATTAGAATATTGTATGTAACATTGAAATAATTTACATAGTTCTGTTAATTCACTTCAATACAATAATCAGTGGTTTTCATCATATTGACTTGTTAGTTCTCTGACTGGACAAGCAAAAGTTAGCCATAATATAATATTATGAAATCGAGAACCCCTTGCTGAAATATGTATTTTTCGATCGATTGTGAGGAGCATGAAAAAAGGTTGTCCAAGACAAAGTTACACTTCTTTGAGAGAACAACTAATGAATATTTGAATATTATTGAATATATTAGCAATTTTTTCACAAGTCTGGTCTGGTCTGGTCTGGTTTAGTCTAGTCTGATCTGGTCTAGTATAGTCTAGTCTACTTTGGCAAAAACCGGACGACACATACAATTTCTCGGAGGTGTCCCACTTGAATTGTGAAATTGCCTCTTGAATAGATTTTTTATTTGTATTTATCAGAGTCAATAATGGAAAAGATCAAGTGACTTGTACGGAATGAAATCTTTAGTGGTGTAAAATATTACTTATTCTTTACTATTGAGGTGTATGAACACTATTACGTAAAGAAAACTTGACAATAACAATTAGTCGATATTATTGACAAAATTCAAGAAGAAGCTTTATTCAAATGTTCTTATTGTGTCTAGAGTCAATGGATGGTATTATTTAGATAAAAGTTCGGACACAGAAATGACACCTGTTAGTGTTTTCAAATGTTGAGACACATAAAGTTACACACCCTGCATTGTGACAAGAGCAACATAGTCGTTCCGCGCTTTTTCATTCAAAATCGTTTGAATTTGACAATAAGTACTTTGAACGTCAGAATTGAAATTTAATTTCATGAACTATTGAGAGGGAAGCATGAATAGAAATGTGAAATGAGTTGTGGGGATTCTGAAGAGAATGGATTTAATTTATTCAATTCGCTAAAGGAAATATCGACATCATTCTCCTAAAAAAATGTATGAAATGGCCTAGATGGAAATTTGATTTGATCACAAGCGAAATGTGTGGGGCACATACATTGAAATTTCCTTTTTATAACAGCAGATTAGGATGAAAATTCATTTTAGGACCATTTTCAAACAGAAGATTTTGAGATCCGTTTGAGAGAATCTGCTGTTCCATTCATTTACAAAACAGACTATTTGAGAAGAGACATTATTATCATCATACGAAATGCAAAACAATACTATCATGGAGAAAGAGGAATTTATTGCAAAAGTAGGTAATGAAATTGAAAATTTGAGAACAGGAAATCAAGTAAATTGCAACGTGATATATCATTGAATAGCATTTTTAATACGGTCCGAACTAGCAATAAGTATATCCATATATGTCTATTTTGTCTTAAAAATGTTGTTACATGCATTCTTTTCATTTTTATAACTGATGTTCTGCAGTATCGCTATAATTGAAGTGGGTGCTTATACCCCATTCCCAATCTACGGCTATGATTGATTTGACAGGAAATTCAACCTCTAAAATGATATCTGACAATCAGACGTTACTAGGGGTATTGAAAACACAAAGAGCAGAATATAATATGTCTTATTCTTTTATTCATTTTTCATAAAAAAACGTCGTCTTCTACATGCCACTACTGCTTTCCATAAGATTATCAATCAGAAACGACCTTACTACCTTCATGAAAAAATTAAATTTCGTCATCAATTGCATAACCTCAATGAGGAATCTTGCTACTGTGAACATCCCACACTACTCCAGGAGTAAATTTAAAGCATCTTTCTCCTACCAACTACCACTAATTCATAATGCTTTAGATGATAACGTTAAAAATCTGAGTATCGAGTCATTCAGAATGAAGCTAAAAAAGAAAATTATTGATGAACAAAGAACACAATCTACCTAAATGCACAGATTACTTCTACGTCATTTAATATTTCCACAACTCAAAAAAAAGAAAAGTGAAAAGTCATATTAAGAATATAAATTATATTCAGTTTGTTTTCTTGGGAAATATCTTGTAATACCTATATTTATTATACAAATATTATGCACTCAGGTTGAAGTGTAAGGATAGCTCTTTGTAGCTGAACTTTCGCCAAATAAAGTCCTATTATCATCATTATTTATATTATTAATATTTGAGTTCAAATACTCCAGTCACGACCCTGCTGCCTCCGACGTCACGCAGAGTCGTGCTGGATAAAATCCAGTGACTACTCCTCACAGCCTGTGAGGTGAATAATCACTGGGACCAAGTACCGTGTGCCCTGAGTAGACGCAATGATCCTAGTATGACGGCCTTTTACATTCCACCAGCCCGGATGTGTGCCTTATCATGGCACGCTGGGATTTTCTGGATCTCCGAGAGCAGCGTGTGTCGTGTGCCTCCTAGGGAGCCGATTATCAGGATGACCAATTCCACAAAATGGTCTGGATAGAGCCGACGGAGTTCGAAGAGAAGATCTCGATATTTAGTCCGTTTCTCCTCCTCCTTCAAAACGATGTTCGGTTCGGCTGGCGCCGAAAACTCGATCACGAACATCGCTTTGGTTTGATGGTCGAGGAGAACTACATCAGGCTTGTAAGCTTGTATTTGCCTGAGGGTGGGGAATGGGAAGTTCCAATAAATTCGGCACCTCTCATTCTCCACAACGGACTCAATATCCCCCGGAGTATAGGGCAGCACTGGGGTCTCGTCTATTCCGTACGAGTGCCTCAAGTGATGATAGAGCACTTGCAATGCCGCATTGTGTCTATGGATATAGGCCGAGACTGCATACACCGTGCAAGAAGACAGCAGGTGCATAATTGTCTCGGGCGTCCTGCGGCAGGCCCTGCAATTTGTGTCAGGGACCTCCATACCCATGACACGGCTACGGTAGACGAGAGTGTTGAAAACCCCATCCTGGCATGCCATGATGAACCCCTCTGTTTCCGATTTAAGCCCGCCTGACTTGAGAAAAGCGAAAGTTAGTTCTTTGGATAAACCCCGGTCTTCAATGGTCTTGAAGTAGACCGAATGCATGGGCTTATCCATGTGAAGCTGCAGGAGCTTTCTCACTTCTGCAACTTTGATGCGGGCCTTTCTCCGAGCAGGCTCCAGCTCAGTAACTGAGTCCTGAGCCCCACGCTCGGAGTCGAAAATCAGAGACAATTCATCGGCTGCTCGACGTGCTGCCCTAAATAGAAAAGCTCCTACTCCTGCCTCTTCATGGGCTTTAACCATTTGCAGGAGGGGATCCGAACTCCTGATGACTTTTCAGGCACCATCCAAAACCATTCTGTTATGGAGATACTCCAAGCTCAAGAGTCCACGACCACCCTGGTCTCTAGGTATGTATAACCGTGAAACGGACGAATTTGGATGCAAACTCCTATGCATATGCATCATCTTGCGAGCACCTACGTCAAGTTGTCGCAGCTCGACTTGAGTCCACTTTATTACTCCGAGTGAGTAAAGTAGGATCGAAACAGCAATCATGTTAGTAACAGCGACTTTGTTCTTTCCCGACAGTTCTGATGACCAGATCTGTCGGATCCGCTGCCCATACTTGCTGCGGAGAGCGTCATTCACACGTTGTGCCTCCTGAATGTGAGTTTCCTCTACACCCAGGTAAGTTTACGTCTCTCCGACATCCAGGTGGTGTAGGATGCTTCCGTCCACGAGCTGCGCGTCCTTGTCGGATTTCTCGCATCGTCCTCTCTTGAGATGAACCAGTGAACATTTGCAAATTCCGAATTCCATTCCAATTGCCTGAGTGTACTCCTGAACCACCCTCAGGGATTGGTCCATATCGTTATTCGCTGGATGGTCATCTATGGAAAAATGATTATTTTATGATATTTTAACATGCGGTTGTAGCGATGTTCATAGGACATTTCCTTCTCTACATGTCTGCGTTCAGCAGGTGAAACCTGATTTCCCCAATTTATTCTTGGCACAATCCCATCAAAATCCATTTCAAAATTTCCGTTTGTTTGGTTTATGTGTTGTTGACTTACGGATACATTTTCCAGAAAATATGTCCACGGTGTGGCAACACTGAAGCGGAGTGCGAGAACTCACTTAAGAATTAAGCCATACGTCGTCTGTACTTCATACTTCATTATTCTGTCGTGTCTCATCTTCCACTGCGTTCTTCTCAGTAATGAGATGAGATGAGATAACGTGTCATTGATAAAACTTTTCCATTTTTACAAATATCGCTAGTGATATAATTAGTTCACCACCTGATTGTGATCAAGATGCGCTAAATTTCATGGACCCACTGAAATCGCCATTCTAAAATTGGAAAATTCGTCTTGTCCAGACATTTACGAATTGACTAGCAGAGTGATTGAAGGTACCAGTTTTTTCCTTGTTAAACCTCTAACTGTTCTCTTCAACCACTGTTTCTCTAGTGGAATATTTCCTGATGAGTTTAAGCTAACCAAAGGGATAGCCATTCATAAAAAATGTGACAAAAACATCATTGACAACTACCGACCTATATCAATTATACCGATCCTTGGTAAAATATTTGAATTAATCAAAGACCGCTTAACATCTTTTTTCACTCGACAGAGTACGCTACATGAGAGTCAATTCGGATTCAGACAAAACTGTTCTACTGTTCAAGCAATCCAAAAGCTGGTATCCGACATTATCAATGGATTTGAAGAGGGAAAACATACCATAGTCAATATGTGTGACTTGAGTAAGGCGTTCGACTGTGTATCTTACCCAATACTTTTAGCCAAGCTACAATTTTATGGTCTACGGGGAACAGCTCTGAAATTAATCGAATCATACTTATATGGAAGGAAACGATTGGTATATATGGATAAACATTGTTCTGAAATTAGCAACATCCAGTTTGGGGTCCCTCAGGGCTCTATCCTTGGGCCACTTCTATTTATCATCTATGTCAATGATATTTTTCATTACATGAGTCCAACTAAATGTATTTGTTATGCAGATGACTGTACTATCTATGTA